GTTCCAATGTATTCTGAAATGAATTGGTCCATTTAGGTTCCAATCTAACTCTGGAATAAATTGATAAACATATAGGTTCCAATCTGAAATGAATTAGTCTTTGGTACTATTATCTGGAATGAATGTGTCTTAGGTTCCAATGTAGTTCTGGAAGTTGGTCTGAGGTTCCAATGTAACTCTGTAATGAATAATTTGGTCCATGTATGTTCCAATGTAACTCTGGAGTGAATTGGTCCATTTAGATTCCAATTATGTATTCTGAAATGAATCGGTCCATTTAGGTTCTAATCTAACTCTGGAATAAATTTGTCTTTGTAACCGTAACTATGGAATGAATTGGTCCATTTAAGTTCCAATGTTGGTCCGTTTATGTTCCAATGCAACTCTGGAATGAATTCACCCATTTAGGTTCCAATACAACTCTTGAATGAATTGGTTTGTTTAGGTTCCAATGCAACTCTCGATTGAATTGGTCCATTTATAGGTTCCAATGTACTCAGAAATTATTTAGTACATTTAGATCCCAATGTAAGGCCAACAAAAAAAATAGTCGGTCTCTGGTCAGCGCGCGCGTCGATTTTAATCATGCGCGTCAATCATTTTTCCCAAATTTTTCGCGGTAGCTACAACAGTGATCTCTATTGCCGCACCTCCTCAAATGTTTGTACCAAGGAGCACCAAGGAATTGGGAAATTGCACAAAGGCAAGTGATGGAGGGCACCAAGGCAAATTATGGAGGACACCAATGTATATGAGGACACAAAAAAGCAAAATAGTATCCACCTTGTGGGTACTATTTTGGTACCTAAATTGGTACATTTAGGTTCCAATATAAATGAGTTGGTTCGTTTAGGTTCCAATGTTACTGAATTGGTCCAATTAGGTTTCAATGTAGCCTAACTGAAATGAAATGGTCTTTTAAATTTGGAAAAAAGCGTTTATCAGACCAGCTTTATGGTGACATATAACATGTAGAAAGTATAATATGGTGTCTACTGCACTATAGCGTGTGAATTTAACAAAATTATCTTGGGATACCATCAACAAGATTCGTGTTTGGAGACGAACAAGATGCTCATGAATATTCACCAATATTTATGTCTACAATGCTTTGTGGAAAATATATATGACATTAACCATCCGACGTGACAAAAATTACACGACGTAATGATATTTTTCTCGGCGCCAAATATACTTACCGTCAAATCCAATCTAAGGTGACCTTGAGGGGACATAGTCGCAACTTTCTTTACCACCTGAGCCATGTATCCATGGTTGCCTAAGTTGATTAGCAAAGTGGGGCAATTCAATTCACTCTACACAACTGGAAAGTGGTATTTGCAAAACATGTTGTCTGTGTCGTCTACTGCAACGTAAGTGCACGGGACATTTTTTTACATCATTGATGGCTGGATACTTGCAGGACGGGCGTGTACGCTGTTATCAATTTTGATATTATTACCACAATATCATGCATGAAAAGCATTCAAAGGCAATGCCGACGTCATGTAGGCAATATCTGGGTAATGCACGACACTCCACTGTCCATTCCATTCAGTGATAAGAAAGTAGAGGAACTTATACGCAATCATTCAGTTAACTTCACTTTACTGTTGCCAAGCACATAATGTAGCGTCATCTTCCGTGATTGACAAGACACATTTCCAGACTATTGAACAAAAGTCGGCCAAAATTCAACCGTTCATGTTCTGTTTTAATCTCTTTTTAAAGAACAGCGACTAAAAGAGCCGTGAGCATGAAAAGATCGGGAGATTTAGGGTATCACGGGTATTTAAACACGGTGACTTTTTTTACTGACGAAATTTAAGAACTATAAGTTTGTTTTGCTGATTTTACTTAATCAGGTCTGATTGGTAAAACCGTTTGTTTTCGCAGGATCAGATAGGACGAGGCTCGCGATGGACGTGCACATAAGCGGACAGCCATTTGCCCTATAACCCGGCGATGCCATAGAAACCACTCATCACCCAATCTCCATGGAGATAGATTGACACGTTCCCGGTTTGGCAGCCGATCCGATTGAGCCACGACCCCCCCCCCCCCCCCCCCCCCCAATGAGAACGTGTCTTAGCCGTTGCGTGCCGGTGCGATACACTATGAGAGAGGATTTCATTTCCGTTCCGTACTCATGTTCTCGTCTTACATGTTCTCATAATGCCTGGACAGGAATGGGTTTTGCAGACAGAAGTGCAACTGAAATTCGAACATCTCTAGGTCGCTTGTCACTTGCCCAAATAAGGAGGAGACTTTAAAGCTGTTGCAGATTTTATATTGTCTACTTATTGATTTCAGTTCAACTCCAACTATGAAACGCACTTCCCCCATTTTCCAAAGCAGTCATAACTTATAGGTACATGTATCCTGTGGTTTTCTTGAGCTCTAATCCGGAGTGTCAAATATCTTTGGTTAGGTCTAGAAACCTTTTTTTTTTAGGCCAATGCAGACCTCTTTTAACGTCAAACCTTTAACGGAATGGGAAATGTAAAAAGGGAGGCCATTTTATATCGTGTTCCCAGAAATCTATTCAACACTAAGTACAGGGTGATGCAAAAAGAAGGAAACCCATTTTTGACAACAATTTTCACCTACTTGTTGAACATATTTCAACAATTCAATTTAATGGTATTAAAATATTGATCTTGAAACGTAAGTTACGAAAAATGACTGAGATATGGTAGTTTAAAAATTTCATGTGCCAAACCTGTTTGTCCACGGACGGCTTTATTCCATCCGCTTGACCGAGCTCAAGAGCCTAATTTGAAGACAAGAATAACCCACACTAGACTTACACGTGGACAACAGTGATTTTTGTGACTTGTATTCAAATTAGGATAATATCACTATTCTTGCAATTTGTTTAATGATTTTTTTTCACCACGTATGGTTGAAGAGCTATACTTCACTACATAATAAAAAAAACACAGTTCAAAAGTTAAGTTAGAAGGTTAAAATTCTTGTCAAATTTTCCCTCTTCTTTTTGCACCACCCTGTAGTGTGCCTTATGCGCCCAATGCATTTTGTAGTGATTGCTCCAATATATTCGCATTTGAGTCCAGCAGAAACACGGAACAATGTTTATTTAGCAATTGGTGTTGCAAAATATTCATCTTCATGTAAATACATAAAATAAATATTGCATCGGCTATTCCTTAGATTATACTTTGATTGAAAATGCAGGTTTGTCGTGAATAATGACAATGGCAAGGTACGAATAATATATATTTACACTTATTTCTGCAAAGAGTCATGACATAATTCATCGCAACATATATATGACAGAGTGGCACAGCTGTAGGCAATAACAGCTGTAATTAAGGTCGTTCGAGAGAGAAAAAATTGCCGGACACATTTCGCGGGTGAATGCTTTATTAAAACGCAATGTCATCATGGAACACATGCATTCATTACATGCATTCCTGCTGTGCTACCTGACTACAGTGTACATGCTGTGCGGTGGTAACTTAGGATGAGGCATAAACATTGAATCTACCTAATTATTGCACGGAATGTTTTATTAGTGGCGAGAAAGACTGACAGGTTGGGGTAATTATTATAACATAAAGCTCAAGGAGATTGCCTTTATATGGAGACAATGGAATGTTGCCATTGGATCAGTGGATCGCAGTATTCGTCACGACATGATTTAAATGGGACTTAAATAAATGGAATGTACCATAGAATTTGCAATCATTATATAATCTTAATCAGACTGCTGCCAATCTGCACTGGAGTAGAACTCACTGCGTAGTCTGCCCTCGAACAATTATTTTAGATCCACTGTTGCCGAAATCTCGTTGCCTCAATAATTCCTCAGTTGCCTCGGGTTGCTTCAGTTCTTTTAATTAAACAGTATAGTTAGCTGCAATGGTAAACGTCAAATCGCCCCTTCTGTTCACTCTACCCAAGACGTTTTACCAAAGCGTGTCGGGTATTACATGTTAGATCGCTTCCACCGTAAGTTTAAATTCCTGCCATGTGCTTCACCGGGCCGCAATTACAATGCAATGTATTGTGATTATGGGCTATAGTATGTGTTGCTAAGTTACATGCTTTTAGGTCGTTGCATTGTTATCCACATTAGTTTTCATGACTAGCTTAGCGCCGTTCGACATGAAGAGAAAATTAGGGCTGTAGGTTCTTTCTCGACCTTTGAATTTTCACTTCTTCATGTAATTAATTACCCCTCCGTTTGGTCGGTTTGTACCTTATACGTTTTTGGTCAGCACGTGACCACTATACTTAGCCTACTCAATTTCGTGAATTTCTCGCACGTTTCAACAGTGTAAGAAACACCTCTTTTTGTATTATTCGCAGTAATGTTATTTCAACACAGCCCCGACCTCAGTGCAAGATTCAGTCTAGGACGCCATAGCAAATGACATGCGCAAAATGTAAAAGGATAGAGCAGGGTTGGTCCTCCGTTGGCGTCAAAGTCTGAACTTCCGGGGTCCATCGAATAAGTCGATTTCATACCCAGTTGTGTAAATACAGTTTTACTCCCAATATAATAAAATGATCAATTTCTTCGCAGACAAAGTTTTTTTACTACAATTTTGCTACATTTTCGATTTGGTTTTGCATTCACCTATATTGCATGTACCTCGCCCGCAGAATCCGCAGAAACGCAATAACGCCCTTTTGGGTAAAACGAGGCACCACGAAAGGTGAACGGACTTTCACTCCAGGTTTGCAAAATTGTTTTCACGATAAAAGATAATCATTTTTCACCCCATATTTAATCATTTTGACGATGAAGCAATATTATAAAGACCTACTTTGTTATTTTGGATGAATATCTGGGCGCAGGTATCCATACCTTGGTATACATATATTAATTTGAATTCACTCCGAGGAAGAAGTAGGTTATGCGGGTATTAGGCCATGAGTCCACTGGGAAAACACAGGCACCAAGTGGATACGAAACCACGTCTACCGGACGCCGGCAGTGTGCAATGTATATAATTATTTAGGGTACTTACCGCATGACATTAGCCGCAGCAGAATGATGGCCAGAGCTGCTTGGAGCGTGCAGGCAACGCCTATCTGCATGATGTCGAGTACTATTTTACTAACCGAAAATACTCCAGACACCGTCTCCACCTCGAAATGTTCTCCTCCCGTGGATAAATCTGTGATTTATATAAGACTCGCTGGTTGAGATGTCGCGCCGTACCAGGCGGTGTATTAGTCATGGGGAAATGGTCTTCAGCCTACGGGCTGTGACACTCTCGGATATCGCTTGCCGTAGTGTGTCAGTGGTTCGTTGGTTTGCCGTGCACGACCACGACTCGCTGCGTGGCTATAACCTCCCTAGTCGATCTCTTCTCCTTCCCCGTATGATGACGAGCTAAATGAACCATACAGGTGATGAGTTACTGGCTCACCTCGGCAGGCAGAGAGGGAGTGATGTACACGCGTTCACCGTCCATCTGTACCGCTTGGTACAAGTCTGAGATGTGCATCCACTACTTCAATCAATCACCCACCCAACATTTCCCGATTTACACACTTCAACCAGTCACACAAACAAACACATGAAGGCGGGATGGACCGAGGACGTACTTGATGACCACACATCAAATGGTAATCTTGCGTGCACTAGTCCTACGTGATGTTAGCGGTTCTACGGTATGGCGATATAAATTGCGTATACGCGTACCCGCATATACTCTGCACTGCTATCGTACCCTGAAAGCACGACGGGCGGCGCTTTTGAAATCCCCGTAGTTGGGACCGTACCGCGTTGCGAGCGGTATGTGAGCTCGTACCGGCCCGCAATTATAATGTACGCCCAGCCAATGATGGCTTTCTGTAAATGGTCCTTGCTCTATGCTGTAAGTGATCCTTTTTGGGGGGACACGAAGTGGTGTGTGTGTGTTTAAGCACGTGATTAAGTACGACGGTATCTTTAGCACCGGTAAATTACCAAGCAGAATTGGTCAGGGTGCAGTAATTTATCACAAGGAAATGGTCAGTTTTATCATAACAGTGGGCTCGTGTAAATAAACTCATTGGTGGTGTTTGTGATTCTGGAGATGACTAGGTGATTTTTCTCTCCGCCTTGAATTATGTTCGACTTTGATCTTGGAGGAATGGTTCTTATGACGCTTGTGGTTTTTCCCAAGGGTATACACTCTCAAAAAGTACCGGGTCAAATTTGACCCGGAATCCGGGTCCTGGGCCTGACCCTTTTCCCGGTCAAAAATGTCACTTTTCCGGGTCAAAATGGCATGTTTCTGGGTCAAAATGACCCAGAAATTTTGACCCGAAAGTGTAATTTTCGACCTGGAAAAGGGTCAGACCCCATATGACCCGGATTCCGGGTCAAATCTGACCCGGGACATCTTCAAGTGGATGGTGGGCGTCGACAAACTCTTGTGTCGAAATTCAAACTCGACACAAGATGGCCTTTTAAGTTCTTGGCTAGGGCCGGCCGCTTTTTCTCGAGGTTTAAACGGTCTCATATCAGTATTAAAAAGCCAGCTGATCTATTTAGTATCTTGTGGGAGAAAGGATTGTGAACGGAATGATCTTAAAACAAAAAAGAGTGAATGAATAACTTTCCAATGTTGATGACCTTCATACTGACGTTACGGTCGACATCCAATCACAACCCACAATTCTGGCGTCATAAATTAAATGCCTCTGCTGCCGGAACCAGAGCAGCAGAAAGTGGGCATCTCATGAAACATGATGAACTTTCAAACCTTGGCCTCCCAGAAAATGAATTTGAAAGTATTTACTTGCTGTTTTTATTATTTGAATGAACCATTCATCGGGGATTTGTACAAAATACAATTAAAAACCTATGAATGTGTCCCTCTAGTCTAGAGGGAAAAAAGGTTTCCGTTTTTGTCATTCCATGTAGGCCTATGTTTTGGCTTTATTTCGGTTTTTTTCAGTATACCACACTCTGAACACTCCTGGGCCAAATCTGAGCCGGGTTCTATTTGGTCTGACACTTTTCCGGGTCAAAATGCCACTTTTCCGGGTCAAACTAATGATACTGATTTTTCTGGGTCAAAATGACACTGGTTTTTCCGGGTCAAAATGACCCGGAAATGAGTCAGGGAAGTGTTATTAATTTGACCCGGAAGAGTGTAATTTTGACGCGGGAAAAAGTGTTGAACACGGAAAGTGTCATTAATTGAACACGGAAAGTGTCATTAATTTGACCCGGAAAAGTGTCATTAATTTGACCCGGAAAAGTGTCATTAATTTGACCCGGAAAATAATTCGACATACAATGATGGGGAAATAGATAAAAAGTGTCATTTGACCCGGAAAAGTGATTTTGAACCAGAAAAGTGTCACAGGCCAAATAGAACCCGGGTCAGATTTACCGGGCGGGTCAGATTTGACCCGGGACATTTCAGAGTGCAGTTCCTAAATTAATGATGGAAGAATTAGTTTGACATACAATGATGAGGAAATAGATAAAAGCTTTACTTTTGATTGATGCGGAAGATTTAGACAATCAATTTGTGTCAACAACCTGTCTTCTTTCGTCATCGGCACAGACTTAAAGAGAATCTTAATTCATCATGTCAGTCAAACTCTGTGACCTGCATATGCCAAGATGGAGCGGGTATCGCTCATAATTCTTTCAATATTTACAAGCACTCATCCCGCACGTGTGAACGGCGAAGATGATGGAGGCGTTCGAAGCGGGGCTCGCCTGCAAGAGTCGATGGGGGAGACAGGTGGATCGATACCCATAACTCAGGCTGACTTGAGAGCGACTTAATCATCAGCCTCACACGGCGCGATAAAGGTCCCAGTCACTTCACCCTGCGTGTGTGCCGGGCGACCACGCGTGAAATCTGTGCGTATTATAAAGACAAGGCTGTCGCACGCGGGTATATAATGCATACTCAGTGAATTAATAAAGACAGGAGAATTTAAGGAAGGGAATGTCTTCCCCGCTTTATCTTTAGATGTCACTGATTGCTGTGAGCCATGACTATTTTTATTACTCAAATCCATTCCTTTTAACTGTATTGAAATATTGAAACATAATTTTTGTTTCAATTTTTCAAAGCACTTGCATTTTTCAACATTTTGAAATGACCAATGCTGTGTTACTGACAACTGGGGGCGCTGTTGCTGTGATGTCACTCTACTGCGGGGGAGTTTCTATTTAAATTATAAACCCAAAATGCAGCTTATTGAAAATATTGGTTGATCGTGAAGTTTTATAAACTTTGCCATGGCAAACGCTCCTTAAATTCTGGCATCTTTTGATGACGCTGATCTAGACGTTGGATCTAGAACATCTCATGGTTTTGCATGTAAATTCGCATTAGTAGTATGGACACTATGAAAGGCCCCGTATACGCAAGACACCCTTAAAATGGCAAGTCAAAGATTAAACATTCAAATTGAAGGTGTCCTATTTCAAGGGTTGTATTAAGCAAAATTCTATGAAGAGCTTATAACTAGTTGACATCTCGTCAGATGTCGCTCGAAGCGTATTCGCCCACCCCACGTTTAGTCCAACTTTATATCCGAGACGTTAAGATGTTAAAAGAACCATGATTTTGTCGGAGGTGAAGTTTTAAAGGTATTCTACATTACAAAGACTTTTGTGAAAAAAAAGGAAATGGGCCGGGTGTTGAAGGCTGCACAAAGTTTATACTGTACATTCTGCCAGCTAATTTAACAGACTCCCCCCCCCCCCCCCCCCCGTCCCATGGCCCCCACCGGCGTCGAGGTCCGGTTTTGCTTTTTCATGAAACAGCGGGAAATTCTCTTTTGCTCAAACCTAACTAAGGTACAGTTATAATGTGAAAATGGCATGGATTAAAAATATATATGTATTACTTTTGTGGATTGTATCAATGACACGATTGAACTGCGATGGATCATGCCTCTTAGTTATACTTCCTCGAGGAGTTCTGAAGAGGATAACCACCAAGTACCAAGTACCAAGTAAGCTTAAACTCACTGACCGTGAAGGTGAAATAGCGCCCTCTAGAATTTCAGCCGGCATTCAAGGAAATGGCGTCGAGCGAGGAGCTTGCCGTGGTTACGAATCAGCTGTTAGAAAACGGGTCGTCTAGATTCTTAGACGTCTCGGATATACTTCTAAAATTTGCCAATAACATTATAAGGTACTTGTGATACTGAGATTTCTGTCCGCTAACTTAACAAATTATGACGTTTCTTATTATCAAGTATTTTCATGTTCACTGATGATGGCAGTGCAGTGTAGGCCTAGGCTACTCCTAGAACTATGAGGCTCCGCGTGAGCGGAGTGGCTCCTCGTGAGCGGAGCCTCATAGATCAAGAAGCCCGCAAAATTGCCTGCAGCACAAAACACTAATAAAGTACAAAAACGTCCATCAAAATGCAGCCATTTCACACAGAACCGCTGCACAGTTTGCCCCTATACTCCGTACTTTATCTCTTGACATACTCACGTATCTTGTGCGGAACTAACATAGGTGGATTCTGTCGGTTTTTAGGCCAAAATGATGAAAAATATGCCCTTTCCACACTGAGCCAGCCTGACACTTGAAACGTGCACGCATATGATCGAGCGATGATTTTCGGTTCGCTCGGAGCGCGCCGCGGGGGGTACGGTACAAGCGAAATGACGTGCTTGTACCGTACCCCCCGCGGCGCGCTCCGAGCGAACCGAAAATCATCGCTCGATCATATGCGTGCACGTTTCAAGTGTCAGGTTGGCTCAGTGCGGAAAGGGCATATTTTTCATCATTTTGGCCTAAAAACCGACAGAATCCACCTATGTTAGTTCCGCACAAGATACGTGAGTATGTCAAGAGATAAAGTACGGAGTATAGGGGCAAACTGTGCAGCGGTTCTGTGTGAAATGGCTGCATTTTGATGGACGTTTTTGTACTTTATTAGTGTTTTGTGCTGCAGGCAATTTTGCGGGCTTCTTGATCTATGAGGCTCCGCTCACGCGGAGCCTCATAGTTCTAGGAGTAGGCCTAGGCCAGACTGGGACCGTGAGTGCATAAAAACGTGCAAAATTACTACTGACGTTTTTTTACTCACCATTAGGCTAATTAATGCCCACACAACACGTACATCAAAATGATAAAGTTGCAAACATGTCATCTGCGAAATTTGAGACCTTAAATCCAATTTTAAGGCAAGTTTTTGGCAGTTCAAAAACCATCCACGTCAATCTCCATGCTCTGGAAATGGGTGTGTGATTCCCAATGTATTCTGGGTAGGTGTAGGAAGTGCCCTGCAGCTTACTTGTTTTTTAATTCGAAGTGGCTATCGTTACGGCATTCGTTGATAAGCGCCCTCTACGATACTTTTTTGATACGCACGCAGGTATATAATTATTTGTTTCCACACGTTTTAGCGAGCAGTGCGACAGCTCAGTCGATAGAGGGTAGGATTTTGCACCGCGATGTTGCGGGTTCGAATCTCAGTTTTGCACTCGAATTTTTTTCCTTTTCTAACCTGAGGCTTTGGAGGATTTTTTTTAAAAGGGAAATAAAGTCCGAATTTCATAACGTTCAAATTCACTTTTTTCTTTCTAATTTTATATTTTCTTGTCATGTTTTTATAAAAGTTGCAGTCTACCGTAACGATAGAAAATGGGAAATGCGTTACGGCTGCCGTAACAATAGCCACTGCGTTTTTAATTGATAGCCAATTGAACACAGCGCCCTCTGTTAAAAAATGAAACATTCTACATTCACTCAGATCAACAAGAGGGCGCTGCTTTATCTACAAGATGAAAATGTTCTAGCTAGGGAGTTTTTTTGCACAATGCATTGCAGTACACATCAATGTGATGTCTCACGTTTGGATTTCGATAACTCTCTGCAAAATTAGAATTAAAAGCTGAATTTTTGGTGATGCAATGCTCACAACAGCAACTTTGCGAGGCAGAAGTTTCAGGGATTATTGAGGAAACTGTAGTGAGTAAGAAGCTTGCAAATTTGATTCACACTGGTTTTATTATGCAGCACAAACTTTTGCACGATATGGATACCTTAAGTTTTGGGACTCTCATACACAGTATTGAGAGTCCCAAATTTTCGGACTAGGCCTAGGCCTATCCGTTTAGTGAAACCACGGACTATTTGTGGTGAAACTGAAGTTCGGCACATTGACATGCATCATTGCATCATTGCATGTGACGTGTTGTGGTTGTGCGATTAGGGCCTGGCATACCCCTAGCTCTACGGGTAGGCCTGGCGCGCGTCTTCTACGCCCATTGGAAGGAGTTCCATACCTGGACATCACTTGACATCCTGTGCACAAACACTTTAATATGAGGCTGAGTATTACGAATACGATGAAACTGAGCTGAACAATTCCAAGTGTTTTCTCAGTAAATGCTTCAGTATTTTCCCTGCTAAATTTTTAGGACATCATGCATTGTTAAGGGACTTGTCTCTTTCTGATGGTTGATAAAGTGATAGATCTAGTACCGTTAGGTCACTGCAGGGAAAAATTACTTATTAGTGATAACGGATATCCATGATGCTATGTATCATGACATGTATATGGAATTCTTCCCGAATTCACAGTCTGAAGCTCTGGGATTCTCAAAACCGATATTTTGGTATTACTTAATCTAGAACCTGTTGCTCATTGGTCATGTTAGAAATGAAGTCCGAATTGAATTTTCCGCAACTCCAGAGCAGTGGAATAGCCAAAGGGGGGGGGGGACAAGTGCTAACCTCCCCCCCATTCTCAGTGCCTCCAGGTCCCCCCCCCCCCCCCCCCCCCACAAAAAAATGCGAAACTTGTGAATTCCCAACGAAGTGTCAAGTTTTTAAAGTATTCTTTTTGGAAAGATTCCCATATCTGGCCATCACTCATTTTTCCTTCAGTGAGCTATTAGCCATCAGAAAGTGATTATACGTCCTAAAATGACAAATTAGCAGGGATAACATTGAAAGTATTTACTGAGAAAACACTGAGAAAATTTCTGACCAATCTCATAAGGTTTGTGCACAGAGTGATGGCCGGATATGGGAATCTTTCCATCACCTCATTCATGTCATTTCAGCTCTGTCCAGGAACGATCAGGCCTTTGAAATAAAATAAATATTAAAAATTGGATGTAGCTTTCCAGCCAAGAAATGCTATTGTTATTCATGCCGGATGTATGTGTAATTATTTAAGGGGATTTTTTTCATAGCCACATTAACGGCAGATCAAAAATTGATGGCACATCCGGATGTGCCATCTCCCTTTCAACTTCCTGACAACTGTTTTGGTGTAATAAATTTTGACAAATATTTTGAAATCCAAACAGGAATCCCAATGTGGAGAAGTACCGTTCCATCCGCCTGGGAAACAAGATCTTTGAGAGTCGTGTCCTTCCAGTGTCTGGTGCCGTAGAATGCCTGTTTCTCATGGGATTTGAAGAGGTAAGTACCAGACCCATGAGAAAACAGAGCCTTAAGTTCACCCCAGGTGGCGCAATTCTGGGACACTTGAATGGAAAAATTAACGTGTAAAGTTCTAGAATTTGCAATTGCTCTAAATCACCCCCAAAAAGGGCCTTTGTAAAATCTTATTAGTTTATATTAACTGATAAATTGCCTGACTTGAAAAAGTAATACTATGACCTCTCACTTCCGAAAATCGAAACAACATGCGGACTAATGGAAGTTGAGGATGCATCCCCTAAACTAACCAATCGCGGTAGAATCGCGGCAACGCAGCTTGTGAAATATTGTCCAGTTTACAAATGGATGCGGAATGCGCAAAATCTGAGACGTACAACATTTAACGTTCAAAATTCCATAGGGTTGTGTAAGGGGCATGGCTAACTCGCAAACGGCGATAGGTCAATTGGTGTACGTAGATGAGAATTTGTGAAATTTGTAGTGGTCATTAGGTGAACACTGAAAATAAAGTGCGAGACCAAGATGTCGTTTAAGGTTTGTTTCACACAACTTTCAATATGTCAGTGAAACAATATTTGTTATAAAGTACTAACCCCCAAATCCATCCATTTCTGAAAATTACAGCAAAAGCAAATGTGGTATATTACCTTAAAAACAATTCTCATATAGTATGCTTGTCATATTCACAAACATCTTCACTTGATTCTTTTTCTTTTAGAATGATGACCATTTGGTGTTTCCCAAGCATGCCCCTCTGACCGACCTGACCCTGCTGCAGGGTCGACTGGCCAGGGAACGACTGCGGCTCATGGCTCAAGAAATCAAAGGCCTAACCACTTGGAATATTCAGGTAGAGTCACCCTTACCCTGCCAGATGCAACACAATCCAACATGTGTGAAAATATATGTTGGACCTCATAGCATTTGGCTATCAACACCAATGCATAAAATGGAAGCTAGTTCAATGAACAATGCCTCTGTTATCTGTTGCAGTTGGCAGAGAAATTAGAGATTAACCCTAACCTTCCCAAATCCTCCAAAATCCTCTTTGCAAAATGGAAGATTTTGCAGGATTGAGGCTATATGGCAAAACTGTATGGCTGATTTCGGAGGATGCACTGTGTCAACGTTTTGGGCCAGACCTTGTGTTGTTTATGCTCAGCCGTGCATGAATTTAGGCCTAGGTTATTCTTGAAATCCTCCGCATTGCTCCAGGATGTCACTGGCTCTGCCTCAACATATTGACAGTGATTGCTGGAGGATTTTGCAGGATTGAGGCAGTGGTCACCCTTCCAAGGACCACATTCAAGAAACAACGGAGGATTTTGCAGGATTGAGGCTGTATGCAATTTTTACATGGATGCAGTTGGATGATTATGCACGATCTAAGCAAAAATGCCTGGGGAGTTAGGTTTAAGACTTTAACCCTCCTATGCAAAACATGCATTCTGAGCCATGCTGTTACTTGGGTCAAAATTGGTCAAGTGACCCATTGGTGTGTTAAAAGTATACCAGGGGAAGTGGAAGGAAACTTTGACTGTTTGTGACCTTTTAAACAGCAGGGGGGTTAAGTACCTTTTATTCCACCAAAAGTTCTTCTCCAATTGATTTTGTAGTACCAAAGCTTCACTTTTTTAACAATCTAACTTAACAATTTTGGAGCGTGTCACATGCAGTGGAGTGCCGTGGCCTCGTGGTCTGGAGCATTGAACTCATAGTCTGCAGGTAATTCTGCAGGTTGTGGGTTCGAGTCCAGCCGGGGGTTATGGTGCATTTGCCCTTGAGCAAGGCACTTTGTCACTCATTGCTTCTCCCCACCCTGGAGTAAATGGGTACCTGTGAGGGCAGAGATGGTTATCATGGTTGATTTTAGCTACTTTGCGTCGACATGGCAACATGGAGCTGTATACTCGGCAGGTGCTGAGATTGTCTTTGGAATGTTTCATTGGCCCAATGAGCAGGGTAATAATGATGTAGCGCCTTGAGCACCAATACTGGTGAATACAGTACGTGCGCTATGTAAATACACATTAATATAATGAAATGCATATCCTCACATTAGCCCTCTGAGATCCCTTCAAAGACAAACCAGGTAGTTTTAAGAAGAATTTTGCAGGACTTAGAAAGATAGAACCCAGCCATCGTTACCTTACACAGGGCTTCATACTCCTGCGAGTTCAAGTACATAAAGACCCTACTATCATTGAGGTCTTCTTGTTTCAATCCTTCAGGCATTAGAGCTGACCTTTCATCAGCGGCTTCAGAGTAGTGCCGATCACGTTCTCATTTATGAGGACCCCATCCTGCAGCAGAAGGCTAGAGACTGTATGGTACTCTCAGAGCTCCTTGTCAAAGCACAGGAGAAACTTCAACAGCAGACTCAGAACGGATCGGGTAAGTAACATAACTGCCTCATTGGTATCTGTGATACTCTACTACTTTGTCATATTTGTTACTAAATAGCTGAGTGTGTACTGTCTGAAAATGACTTCTGCAACCTTAGGTAGGTTCTTTCAATCCTAACGACCCTATTTTGTGTAATTTTGAACAGTATTTTTCGGTAAAAAGTGTGATGTTCTTAAGCATTTTGCAGTTGTTTTGAATCAAAGTGGTTTTGCATTTTCACAATGCATCGCTGTGATCGCCATCTTTAACCTTAACGATCCCCAACCAGCCAAACTCAAACACCAGGGTTTGTTGGAATCTGATAGGATGAGTACTGCACTAGTAAACTGACTGTGCTTTACGTAGAATTAAGCATACCACAAATAAACAGAGTCCAACTGTTAATGTGCACAGTTCACCATATGGTGTTGGGATTTCCTTGTAAATCAGGGTTAAAATGAAATGGTATCATTCGGAAGAAAACAATCATTGAAGGTAGTTTACGAAAATGTGCCTATAGGCGCTGATTTTTGGCAACGGACTCCAGTTAAGAGACCAAAAATTGTGCTTACGGTTTCTCAAAATGTATAGTATCCACTGAGCAGAAACTTTAAAAAGTTAGTTGTCAATATGCACCCGTCTTCAGATTTTGAACAATTTTGTTACTTCAAAGAAATGTTCCCAATTTCACGGCGCTGCTTAACAGTTAGCAGAAAAGTTGTGTTTAGCACAGCAGAAAAATTTGCTAACCTTAAGCACTATTTCACGGCGTGTGTGTGCTAACGGTCCGGCGTGCATGAGATTACTATTGTTACGTCACTAAGTTAAGCAATTTCTTCCCTCTGAAGTAAGCGTGCCTTTTGCTGTACTTATTCTTACGGTCTCCATGAAATAGACAGAGGCTCTGTTAGCAGAAAATTGTGTGCTTAGCAGCGCCGTGAAATTGGGCCCTGTTCCCTTACATACCTTTAAATCTTAAGTGCGCTTAGTCTTTTTTTGTTTGCTAATTCACGGTTCCTCTTTTGGGCCGAGTCCAGTTCCATAACAGACAGGCCATTTTGTTTTTTTGTTTTTCACACAGGAGAGGACGACTTCACCATCCCTCTAGACCAGCGAGACTATCTCCTCCTTGAACTCCTCAAGTGGTTCAAGACAAGCTTCTTCAAGTGGATGGACAGCCCGTCCTGCGAGACATGCAGTGTGCGCATGAGGAGCGTGGGTTTAGTAGAGCCTAACGCGGAGGACCGACGGTGGGGTGCTGGCAGGGTGGAGGGGTTCACCTGCACACGGTGCAATAGACCAGGACGGTTCCCTAGGTATGCGTTTTTACTCGTACACTATAGACTTCCTTGGTGACTTAAATTAGAAGCCATTTTTTGAGGTGGATTCAGGTAGCAAGTCTAGTGCTCAGGTGATATGCACGCACCTTCGGCTCCTTCCACTAAAAGGGTTAACAAAATGCGCCAGACCTTGTCTTATTATATTTTTTATTTTATTTTATTTTATTTCTTTCTGGTAATGAAACCAATGATTCCTCAAAAGTACCATAAGCACTGTAGCTCGAAAGCCTGAAGAAACCTGTAGAGAGAAGACAATGAGAAGAAGTTACAGTTTTTAGAGGTGGGAGGAAAAGCCCAGAGGACTATTCTGAGGAAAACCCACGGAATCAGGTAGGGACTGAAAACCCAATCCACATATTGGCCCTGGCGGGACTCGAACCCGGGTCACAGCGGTGGAAGGCGAGGAAAGTACCGCTACGCCAACCTGACTCTTTAAGAACGCGTGCGGCATGCGCGCTAATGTGGTTTCACCTCAAAAATGACTTCTGATTGTAAAATAAAATGGATGGAAATGAAGGACTATTAAGTGTGCTAAACACATCGGACTGTAATGCCGTAGCACTCCAATAAAAAACACAAGTTGTGCCAAAATGGATAAATATATGTGACCTGTTTTGTCAAAATCAGACTCTTCTGGGCATAAGGTCAAAAATGAGATTTTTGCATATTGTTAAAATATGTTCTTTTTCCTTTTAATAGGTGGTTTAATTTTTGAAACCAGTCATTCCTGGGCAGAGTTATGCTATTTTGAAGTTTATTGTGTTGAAAAGTAGAAAACTGAGAAAATGGCCACGAACGTCACAAAACAGTAATATCTTTAACTGATACGCCTTAACAAATCATCAAAAATACTATATTTAGAGCTCAAATTAGGGTTTCAAACGTTTACAGTATATTTTAGACATGTTCAGGATTACAAATATGCAAAAATTTGAAGATCGAAAAAAATCACCCCACAGCGTTTTTTGGCCTTATCTTCATTTCAACCTCTGCCCAGAAGCGTCTGCTTTTGGCAGAACAGGTCACATATGATCAAGGACATGTTTGTGGTATAATACAATGTAACAGGCAGGATTGAAATGTACAGTCTGTAGAATGACCAACATGGATACACCATACCAAAGGGCCACATCACTCCACTGATAAACAAAACAAGGCCAGGCTTGTCTAATCAGGCTGAACCCAAATGTCTTAATTCAGGACATTATTTATGGGGAGTCATTCAGTCAGTCAGAAGACAGTAAACTGGCCCTTCGGGTCCATCAAACACAAGTTGATGCGATACACAACTCAGGAATTGAAATTTAATGACTTGTCACGATCAGGTACAACCACCCGGGCAAGCTGTTGGAGACTAGGAAGGGCCGGTGCGGTGAGTGGGCCAACTGCTTCACACTGTGTTGTAGAGCGGCTGGATTTGAGGCTAGGCATGTGGTAGACTGGACAGGTACGTTGCTAAATTCATGGAAGTAGTCCAGTGTTCGACCTTAACTTTTGCTTTCACTAGCCAGCCGGGCTACTGAAACAGACTCTTAACTAGCCTGCGGGCATTTTCACTAGCCTGCATGTTTTGTTTTAAAACAACAATGTTTTTTTAAACAACAATGAGCGTATATATGTAAAATGTGTATCCTGAGGCAATCTTGTCAGTGTTTTAATAAACAGATCTAATAAATTTAACCCTAAGGCCAAAAAAAAGTCTCCGGTTTCTGGTATGGAGCTTGCCCTAAAAGTGTTGCGGCGACGCAGTTTTTTTTTTTTTTTTTACTTTTTTTTCTTCAAATGTTGGCTGATGACTGCAAATGGTGCCCGACTAAATTTAGTGCAAACAGTATGGGAGCCCAGAGAGGCCACATAAAGCTTATACTTGATCGTAACCCCATCTAAAAACATGTAAACTGTGCAGCAGCAGGATTCCAGTCAAACCAGTGAGTTTGGCGGTTTTGAGACATCATCTTACATTGAAAAAAAACCTTTTCAATTTTGCCGACGGGCATGGCTACGGCGACGCGCGTGCATACCAGAAAACCAGAGACTTTTTTTTTGGCCTAAACAGTTAATAAAATTAGACACAAAGTGATACAGGTTTTCTTTCTGAATTTAATGATTTATTTCTTCCTGTCCTTTGATCTTCGCCATATCCCAATAATTTTTGACTCACCAGCCGGGCTACATAAGGAATGGTTTGACTAGCCGGCTGCTGTTTTGACTAGCATTTGGCTAGCGGGCTACCGCTAAAGTCGAACCCTGGAAGTTCATGTACTGAAGCAGAAAATATTGCTTAGCAAGTTTTCGTGCTGAGAAACAGCCACAAGTAGTATTCATCATTTGGTATTTTGGCTGGTGACCCGAATTTTACTAAGCAGAAGCTTACTGCGCTTAGCAAATTTGTGTGATAAACCGCTCCATAAGATTGAGCCCTGGACTTTTAATAGAAGAAACAATGACAGATCAAATGTGGATGTTTCAGGGATTACTGAACAGGAACAGTGAATAGTGTGCTGTGTTCCCAGTAACAGGAGTCCCACTATTTGGGGAAAACACCATACGTGTGCATGGGGTAGAGAAAATGACCAATTTACATTTTGCTCAAAACCCTTAGCATCTTTGCAGGGGCAGTATGCGCACTGTGGCTGTGATGTTCAAGTGTATAGGCCAATCTGGGCAGTTATCAATTCTAGCACGATTCGCGAAATCCCGTTCAACGGCAAAAGCATTGTTGTGCCGGCTATTTTGATTGGACAATCCGTCATGGGGCAGTGACTTTGTACAGTAGCATACACAATGGTTTCTCCATTGAAGGGGGCCTCGTGAATGAACAGTGATCATGTGCCTGGAATTGTGTACAGTCTTTCTCTCTGTTGTAATTGAGGGGGTATTTCTACATGGACTGTCGGAACAAGATTTTCACTTCGTATCAAGGAAAAGCTCATTGATCATATACATTCACCTTCCAAAATTTCTTGCTTTGTGCTAAAACAAATTTTGCAGGTACAATTTTTTTTTCTTTTCTGACTTCAAATCCATCTTTTTTTCAGATCATGTATGGACGGAGGTCTACTCTAATTCCCAACAGCGATGGCTTCACGCCGACCCTTGTGAGAATGTCTGTGATAAGCCCCTACTCTATGAGAGAGGATGGTCCAAGAAGCTATCCTACCTCATTGCCTTCTCCAACGAAGAGGTATAATCCATCACTCGTGTGAAGAGCTTCTTAAAAATCTTGGATCATTGTAAACCTTCAAATAGAACACTGCCCATTACAAGTTGATAAATTATTGCGACAGATTTTGAATGTAATTTGTGCCCAACTTGAAAATCTAGTTGAAACCATTTTTTTACTGCGACAACAAATAACAGGACAACTGCTTATTCTCAAATGGAGTATTCTCAACTTAAAATGACTGTACCAAATATTGATGCTATCTGAGATCCACAGTCAAAACAATTTCTAAAGTTTCAGAAAGTCTGTGATCAGATTTTGAATGTCAAATACCAAGTGAACATTAGTATGGTCAAACAAAATAAACATGCTGTATTGGAAAAAAAACTTGTTATATTACCTGAAAGCTAAGACTGAACTCAGTTAAATGTTCCTTTTAATTTTTTGAGCAATATCCACATCAAGAGTTGTACAATAAAAATAGTAGAGTTGAACTGATTCAAATGCAGATAAACGAAGCCATTTTAAAATCTCTTCATTTTCATCATGTGTTTGTTAAGGTTGTGGATGTTAGCTGGAGATACACAGCCAATCCCAAAGAGCTCCTGGGAAGGAGGAAAGAATGCAGAGAAGAATGGCTGATGGACTCCATAGCAACCATGAATAAAGAGGTACATGAACCAAGAAAATCTTGGGGTGTCCTTTATTCCCAAACTTTGGGACATACTTCCATCAATTTCCAACACTGGTCAGCCAACCAGCGTTGGAAAAATGGCTTTTTTCCAAATACTGCTCCCAATTTATCATATTTAGTTAGTCCCCATTTTGTTTTCAATCGATTACACACCTATGAACAGGTACAAGCCAGCTAGACTGGTTCCCTGACCTTACAATTCCCTGACATCTATAAATTGCTCTATTTCATCTTAAGTGGGGTCAGGGAACCAGACTACAAGAACATGATTGTTGTTCTTGGTTTTCCCAGCATCTACGAACACAAAACTTCAAACAAGTGTAACAGTATTTGCCATAAAATACTAACCCCCAAATCCATCCATTTCTGAAAATTACAGCAAAACAATTGACATAATTGTGGACTTTTGAAGACTTCACCAAAACTCTCTCTGGTTCATTCGACAGAGACAGCGTCGCCTCACAGCAGAACGCAGAGCCGTCCTAGACCAACGGGCCGCTGTGGAGCTGGCCGAGTTCCTGTCGCCCAAAGTCATCAGGAATGGAGAGGAGCAAGGGAGACTATCTGGCTCCCTGGCCTGGCGATTGGCAAGGGGTGAGACACAGGGTGACACAAGGAGTGACGCTCAGCCTGGGGGAGAGACGGAGGGGGCTGCTGCAGGGGAGTCAGAGTCTCAGGTAAGTTGCAAATTGATTCATGGCTGTTCGTAAGATGGAATTTTTGCGTCGGGATGATATAAATCAAATTAGGTTTTGCCCTTCACCGATGTGTAAACACTGTATACTCAGTGTGTTACCTCCTGAGTGAAAGTTGGAAACAATCACTCAGGTGGGACTCGAACCCACAACCTCCTGCTTCTAGTGCAGACGTCTTAACAATCGACCACCGAGCTTGGCTGGTTCGAATCTGTTGTACATAGCAGCGGGTATCGCATTTAACTATTGATAAGATGAAAACAAAATTCTGTTGCAAGAAACTGTTCAAAGTTATAACAAATTATGTCAACAGAATTAAGAGAAGTCTGCTTTAGGTTGAAAAAGTCGTTTTGGAATGATAAAATAATTTGATTCATGGGCTCGTGTGGAAAAGGGGTTGGGAAATTCAAAATTTAGGCAGTCGTGTATTTTAGGGCTACTCTTTTTTATTTTGATCAAATAATTGTCAAGGATGTTTTTTATCATTCCAAAATGCCTTTTTCAACCTAAAGCAGACTTCTTAATTCTATTGACATCATTTTTTGTAATTTTGAACAGTTTCTTGCGGTGGGAAATGCAGTTTTCTTACGTGCTTTGCAGCTGGTGCCTTTCGGATCAATGTGGTTTTGTGTGTTCACTGTGCGTCGCGTTGATCGCCATGTTTATTTTCGTGTTGCCTTTTGTCGTCTCCATTGTTTTTACCCCAAAATTTCCCTAAATTTTTTTTAAACTGTACCCTCTATCTACTACATACCTGTTGGTTTGTTATGTCATTATAAATAGTTCGGTAAGTCCAATAACTTAAATGTGGATTTTGTTTCCTTATAGGAAGCAGGGCCCTTCCCTACATAATCACGAAATTGCATGCCCTTAAAAATCCAAACTTGGTCTTGATTGCGTACTTGGATTTGGTAATAGTATCGTGTGTGAATTGGTCCTTGTCAGAGAGGGGGGGGGGGGCTCGGGGGGGCTTGAGCCCACCCCAAATAGGTTGTCAACTGTGATCTACTGAGGCAAAATGAGGAGTGTCCCCCAAATGCTTGTTTTGAGTAATCGATGCCTGAAGTCGGATATACTTGTGAGCCCTCCTCCCCCCCCCCCCCCCCAAACCAAAACCTGGGTGCACCACTGGTCCTGGTCTCTCTTTCTTAATTTTTTTTTTCTTTCTTATTTTTAAGGATATGCCTCCACTTCACCACTTACCATTTGCGTGTTATATTAATTAGTATTAAAAGGTAACAACCATATTTATTTTCAATGGGTAAATTGCGAAGTCCGAATATATGTGAGGCGTTATAGCAAAATGAGACAGAACTGGGCAGAAGTTGAAATGAGGGTTTGTAGGTGGTAGGAGAGAGAATAAAATTCTCCTTACAATACTGTTTGTTGCACTTGAATCGAACATATCGTCGACAAGCTATGGCTGTTTAACCCTAAAGGGGCCGGGGGGGGGGCGGAATCCGCCCCCCCCCCCCTCAACATTTTCCGCGATAGCTTCTAAAAAAATTTTTTTCGCGACCCGAGCTGTTATGACTTTTTAGCCTCGAGCTTTGCGCATCTTTTGATACCAAAAACATAAAAATCGGACCACGGGTTGGCCCGTAACAAAAATTTTTTCGGCGCAACTGAATTTTCGCATATACGTCGTGTACACCGAGCAGAATTGCCATTCATACATATGAATAATTAATTAGCCATAATTCCAAAACCCTTTGACCTATAGTCATGAAATTTCTTGGGCATGTTTAGGAAGAGTTGCTCTATGCATGTGCTGAGTTTCAAAATTGTTCGTCACTCGATGGCCGAGATCTTAGGGGGGGGCGGAATCCCCCCCCCCCCCCCCCCCCCCCCCCCCCCCCCCCCCCCCCCGGCTGAGAGATGGTCAAAATAACCCGGCCCCTTTAGGGTTAAAGTTAACATATATATTGACATAAAAAAAAGTAAAATACTGAGAAAAGGGCATTTAAGGTTTCAAGGTTTGCATTGTGACAATGATAGATGCCAATTAATTTTTTCAAAAAAAACTGTTATTCCATGATTTTTATTCTCAATGTATTTCTTTAAAATCATTTGTAGTAGACATATCCAAGATTACAAATTTCAAAATATCTAAAAGTTTGAAGAAAAAAATCCCACTATTTTTAAAAAAAATTGGGGGGGGGGCAGTTTTCTCTAGTACGGCCTGTGCCCTCCTCTGTCTTATTTTGCCAGAACAGATATGTTGAAGAGTTGAAATTGAAATTTAACAATAGAACTTTGTATCGACAAAATGGACAAGAGTGGTGTTGCTTGAGCTTTTTAGTTTGAAGATTTGAGTGAGTATTTCTGCAGAGACTTCTCTGGCCCACAGATGCTTTTGAAAGTTGTTGTCTGAACTTTCAATCCGTTCTCAGTAAAACAAATGATGATGTTGGTTTAAGAAATCACCCTGCCTCTCTAGAAATCTATAGAATCGGTAGATTTTCACAGCCTGGTAGACTTAAAATTCACCAACTACCATGAGCTCATATGAAAATGAACGAGCTTATTCTTCTGTATTTCTGGGCTTTTATCTGTTCAAATAAAGTGTTTTCATTGCTGTGTGTATTTGTGTGGGTGACCTTTTTATTTTGGCACTAGCCTTGAAAAATAATTTTGGTCTTATATTTTGTTGAGTGTAGTAGTGTTTACATGAAATTGGAGCCTTGTTATTACTGAAAGTTGTTCCTGAGTGACATAAGCTTTGATCTTCATACTTTTTGACTGTCAAGAAAAACTTCTCGTCATTTTCAGCTTATCAAAATATATAGAGTGATCTTTTGTGATCAAGTCAAAAACTGACTTCAATTTACCAAATTTTAATAGTCCACATTTTGTTTACAATCAGTTACACATCCATGGATGGGTACAAGGCAGCTGGTCTGGTTTCCTGACATGATATGACAATTCCCTGACATCTAGAAATTGCTCTGTTTTGGTTTTTTTTTTTTTTTTAAGTAGGGTCAGGGAACCAGACTACCTGAACATTATTTTTTCCTCGGTGTTTCCAGCGTTTATGAACGCAAAACTTTAAACAGGTCGGTCTAACAGTTTGCTGTGAAATACTTTCCCCCCAAATCCATCCATTACTGAAAATTACAGCATAAGCAAATAATGTTGCATATAAGGCATGAGATTCTTCGGACTTTTGTCTAAAGTTAGACTTTTTGAATCTGAGAGAAAGACATTATCAGTAAAAAAAAAAAAAGCATCTGTCAGACCTTTCATCCAATTTGCAGCCTTTTTTTTAATTAATTGATAATCTCATCCCTGTACCTTGAAGCTTAACTGTTTGAAGTTAAGCTTATACCCCAAGGCCTCCAAAATCTAACTGCTGGTTATGGCGGAGTAATCACAACTCTACAGATCTCTTGCAATTACTTTACATGGGGGTTGGAGTCCCTCTCTTGCCTGTGAAAATATCAATATTATGGGACAAATTAAAATTTATATGAAAAATGTATTAATATATGAAAACTTGATTATGTCTTTTACAGATTTATGATTATTTTTTCCTCTATCTGTTATATTGCTTATGCACAGTTACATTTAATTGAGGATCAAGTGTCTTCCAGAATAATTAGTTGGAGACTTATGTACCATCAGACGGTCTGAGACCATATGTTGCTTGATTTAGTCTTGTTAAAAATTCAATATAAAAAGGCATACTTGTTAGTTAATCAAAATATGCAGCATTGATTTGTTTTTTTGTGCTGAAAACTACATATTAATCAGCAATGCATCTTTTTGTCTAAACATAATTCTTTCCGATCAATTTGGCTGGAAGAGATTAACTGTTGAGCTACATGTATTAACTTTTTCCCCAAAGAATATTATAAGAATCAACAGCAAAGTAATCATAGTCGTGTAGAAATTCAAGAATCTTTTAATTTTTTTTCCCGGCTGAAATCAATTGTGTAGCTTCAGTGAACCAGTCCAGGAAAGATGTTAATATTTAATGAAAACATGATTATATTGGCCAAAAGAGGGCGCTATGCTTCAGGATCATTCCTGAACTATGACCTTGTCCTTGTTGATCGAGCACTGCAACTGCAAGTACGGGCATGACTGCAGTGTAGGCATCACCAGGCATAGGCTTTACTGTTTGTTCCATGTGTAGATTTGACCTTCACCCCAGATCGCACAGGGCCTGCCATTTTTTTGGTAACTGAGCTGGATAATTGGCAGCTTTTTCAGTAACTAAAAAATATTAGACCAATGCCTAGATCAAAACTGTTCTATGGGAAAAGGCGGAGGTTTACGGGGAACCAGCACACTGGTCCCATACTAGCGAAGCCCAAGGCTGTCAAAAAAGTTGCTGCCAGGCGTCCGCGGGGCACCATGGAACGTAACGCGCCATGCTATGCTCAGCAGTATCCCCAGTATCAGGGAGAATCAGCACTGTCTGGTTTTGAACTGAGGAACATTGAAGAGGTAGGAGCTGAAAAAAGGAGTAATTTTTGGCCATCAAATGAGCCCATACTAGTAGAGAATGAGGGGTTGTACTACAAACTTCTATGCGTAAAAATGTGTAACTATGTAATACTTTCTTTTGTGAAAATGTGTGTTTTTCCATCCAAATAATTTAAATGTAATGGATATAATGTACTCCTAGAACTATGAGGCTCCACGTAGTGGAGCCTCATAGGTTCAGAACCCCGCAAAATTGTTGTCAGCACAAAACATTAATTAAGTACAAAAACGTCCATCCCAACCAAGCCGTTTCCCACAGAACCGCTGCACAGTTTGCCCCTAAACTCCGTACAATACCTCATGACATACTCACGCTATGTGCACCCAACAAACATCGGTGGATTCTGTCGGTTTTTTGCAAAAATGATGGAAAATATGCCCTTTCCGCACTGAGCCAACCTAACACTTGAAATTTGCACGCGCGCAGAATGATCGCAGTCATTTTCGGTCCGATCGCTCGGAGCGCGCCGCGGGGGGTATGGTGTAGGAGCGGAACGATAGTATGCGCATGCGTACAAGTGCGAGTACGTACCCCCCGCGGCGCGCTCCGAGCTATCGAACCCGAAAATGACTGCGATCATTCTGCGCGCGTGCAAATTTCAAGTGTTAGGTTGGCTCAGTGCAGAAAAGGCATATTTTTCATCATTTTGCCGAAAAAACCGACAGAATCCACCGATGTTTGTTGGGTGCACATAACGTGAGTATGTCATGAGGTATTGTACAGAGTTTAGGGGCAAACTGTGCAGCGGTTCTGTGGGAAACAGCTTGGTTGGGATGGACGTTTTTGTACTTAATTAGTGTTTTGTGCCGACAACAATTTTGCGGGGTTCTGAACCTATGAGGCTCCACTACGTGGAGAGGTGCACAGAGAGGTGCTTTATTCTGTATGTATGCTTAACCAATCGGGATGCCCCGTTTAAATCTGTTCACAAGCCCCACATGTCGTGCACAAAGTAGAGTGGTTGACAGGTGTGCGTTATGTATATTTATGTGTATGTGGATACGAGTGAACCCTGGAACGGTATGCAGTAATCTGTCCATATGACATGGCAATATGGCAGGGGAAACGACAAAAAAATCTGCTGATGATAAGGTCATACATAAACAATATACTCTGTGTGACATTTCTGTTGGCAAACCCTTGCTTTTGAAAATATTGTATGTATTTAGTAAATTGTTGTGTAAGGTACATGTAAGCAGCCTTTGAAATTCTGTGGCTGCAGTTATCATTTTATGTAAGGCCCAACAAAGCATGACGGAGAGCATTGTACAAGACTGAAATGCAGCTCCAGTTAAGTCACATGATGACATGTCAGGTCTGTGGGGTCCTACTAAAGCGCGTCAACAAGCGTCAACAAGCCTCAACGGTCGTCAACGAGCGTCAACAATTTTGTATAGGCTTTTGAACATTAAAAACAGCTTTATATGGTAGGAAAAGCAATAAAGAACATCTTCTGCATATCAATTAAAGTTAAAATTATTTTAAAACTTGGTTTTTTGAACGCGAAATGTACGACGAATTTGTCGATAAAGTTGGCCGCCATCTTGTTTGGATGGCGCTGTAGACTTCGCGCATGCGTAGTATGGCTCTGTACACTTCACGCATGCGTAGTACGGCTAGCTACACATAAACAAGATGGCGGCCAACTTTTATCGATAAATTCGTCGAACATTTCGCGTTCAAAAAACCAAGTTTTAAAATAGTTTTAACTTTAATTGTAATGCAGAAGATGTTCTTTATTGCTTTTTCTACCATATAAAGCTGTTTTTAATGTTCAAAAGCCTATACAAAATTTGTTGACGCTCGTTGACGACCGTTGAGGCTTGTTGACGCTTGTTGACGCGCTTTAGTAGGACCGGGTCTGTGACATGTTTTAATTGTGCTGAGGTCACCTGACAAGTATGCTTGTGGCAAAGTCACATGACTAGGTTGCATTGATTTGTTTATGAGTGCAAGTGGTTGACAGTGTAGATTGTCATTGTTTAATGGAACGAGTACAACTATCTTGGTAATTTACATCAAGAGAACACTTGCAGGCATGAGATGCCCAGGAAATATTTAAAATGCACAGATTTTGCCAAAATTATCTAGGTCATTCCGTGTCAATTCAACACGATTTTGGCCCAATCGTCACAGATGGAAGCGATATTTGGCGTGATGATTGGCCTACATGAGAAACCCCCAGAACTGAATTCGTGCACATGCAGTATGTACATTTGTATGTAAATATATGCAAATAAGGTTTTTCCCTGGACATTCTATCTTTTTGAAATCATACATTGTAACTTGAAAACTTTAAGAGTGCCCATCACAAAAATAATTGTCAAGATTGCTGCTTACATCATAAACTAACATTTTTGGGGGAAAAATTATGACATTTGAAGCATAAAGGTCATTTCATTATGTATTTTCTCTGTGCTTCATACTACCATTTTGTTTTGTTTTTTAAATGGAGGCCATTCGAAGAGCTTTATTATGATTTACACTTTGGCTTTGTAGGTACTTTAGTTTTGGAGACACAAGTATTTAAAGTTTGTAAGTCATGCTAATTAGTCTAAAGTTCGTTGTCCCATATCCCAAAAACCAACTAGCCAAATTACCAAAAAAATCAGTTATGGGGGTTTCTCATATAGGCCAATCATCACACCAAATATCGTTTCAATTTGTGAGGGTCGGGTCCAAAATCGTGTTGCATTGACACGGAATGACCCATCTTTTTTCCCCAGTAGCAGCACAGTTTCCAGTAAAGTCAACTTAAACACTCAACGGGAAATCTTCAAAGCCATCATGTTTATTTTTCAAAAATGCAATGCGCTATTTGTCTGCTTCCTCTGCTTAGGGTTTCGTCTTCACACTGACATCTGGGGAAATTGCATCCAAGTGCATCCACATCAAATACTGCACAGCCTCTGACAAGTACATCCGGGTATCGGATGACAACAAGCAGACAGCAGATTACCGGAGTTGCCTGTACCGGAGCAACAACATCTACCGCAAAGAGGAATATGATTGGAATATGGTGAGTGGAGCTGAATGGTGGTGACGTACATCATTGATATATCGATGTAATGTCATTTTGGGAGTTGCCAGGAACTAGGCTTAGCCTAGTATAGTTTTACATTTCTTTGAAGGGCCATTCTTTGGTCACGTGTGTGACATAAAATTGGGCTTGTCTGATTTTTGAAGCTTTACCTCTTGTTAACTACGTCTGATTCATTACTTTTACTGATTCAACAGGTTAGTACTTCACACTTTCAAAGATAAAACTTTTCAGATTTTAATCTGAAATCAGATTTTTAAAAATTTCCAATGAAATTTCAGATTTTTTAATGATCCCACAAAACTTTATCTTCATTATAATTTCCAAGAAAAGTTGATAAAAATGGCACGTAAAAATTTACACAAGTGTGAAACACCTAGACCAATGCTGATCAGATCCTTTTCCGGCTGGAGAAAAGGTTAAATACTGACCTATGACATTGATGCGCTGTGCTGCACTGCGCGATGCTGTAGCAGCTCGGACCTAAGGTCCAATTTCAGATTTTTTTTGCTAAGGCCAGTTTCATCTCTGTACTTTTTCCCCAAAAAATTTATTTAGTTTCAATTTCTGAAGAAACATCCTGAAGATGTTTTTATAGAAGTCAGTGTACTTTCTGTAAAGAACGTGACATTCGTATAAAATGCTGAGAAGTTTTGTGTTTTCACAAGTCATTCATAAGTAATCTTGTCTCAAGTTCCTCCAATCAATGGTGGAAAAGGACATTGTTGTCATTGCACATCCTCTTTCACTTGTGATTTCACATACAACTACCTTGTGATTTGAGTTGACTGTTGGACTCGACCGTAACTCTGGCTACCGTTTTACACCCAAACTCTACATGTAAAAAGCAGCATCATTATCGCACAACATCATATAGCATCAGATTGGGTTATACGGTGGGAAAGTAGTTAAGATTTTTTTTAAAGTGTGAGTAAGCTGGAATTCTGGGATGTAAGAACTGATTGACTCCACACTTGCAAAATATTTATTTGACCATAATTATGCACATCCAGGTGTATCTGGCCAGAGACGGGGGTGATCGAGAGGGCCACATAGAGTGGCGCTTTGACTTCCGAGACACTGGGCTGGTCGTTGATCAAGTAACACTCGTCGCTTCGGCCAAACTGTATCAGAACGGTCAAGTCAAGTGGAGTTGTGGTCCTCAACATCAGATGGATACTTCGTTACCTGTCAATGAAGGTGAGGTCGATGACAATGTAAGAAACAGATTTGTAATTAATTCATCATAAGTAAATGACAGTTCATCATGGGCGGATCTAGCTTTCAGAAGGTGGGGGGGGGGGTGTTGAGTGAAGGCATGCCCTGCTTGGGGGTCTGGGGGCATAACCACCCAAAACAAATTTTAAGTTTGCTATGCTTTCTCTTGCATTCTAAAGGCAATTTGAGAATAAATTTAGGAACTTTAGCATTCCATAAACTGTTTTGGCCCCATTTTACGAGTATCGTAACATTAGTCAGTGGATGAATGGAGGGGGGGGATGTTGCAACCCCCAATGAACCCCACCCCCCGAGATCCCCCACTGGTCACCACAAGTCAATCACCAGTCAATCTAGTCTGAGGATCAGATGTTCACGTGTGCAGAGCCACACTACGAACGTCTGATATATCCGTGCTTGTAAATTTTATGCGACCCCGCGCCAGCCAATTGGAGCTGCTTTTAGAAGTTGTGACGTCATTTAAACAGAGAAGCCACTTTTCCGGTTTTAACCGGAATTCCGGCAGAAATTCGGCAATGCAGTTAATTGGTCAATAGTTGCCCTGTTTTTGGTCATACATGTACACCATCGGGTTACCGAAGGCACGATAGAAGAAACCCGCTGCAAGCGTCTATTCCATAGACTACAGTCGACCACAAGTCAGTCACAAATCAATCACCAGTAATCTTAAGTCAGTCACAAGTCAATCACAAGTCAATCACAAGTCATCACTAGTAATCCTGTCGCAATTCAAGCAAAAAGCTATTCAAGTGGACTGTCACAAAGACATTCCTTCGTAATTGTTTCTTCCCTGTTATTTATGACCTAATTTGTGATTTGACTTGTGAGATTGACTCGTTTAAGACTTTAAAATGAAATGAAGCTAATTGTTTTGAAGACAGAGCGTAATGTACCTCAACCGTTTCGTCACTGTACTGCCCGCAACCGCCCCGCCTATTACTCACTGTCGCGCCCGAAACCGCCGAGCACTCTGGTTTTATTGATTCTTCACTGAATAACATGTAATACAATGTAGTACATGTGCTATCAGTCAGGACAAGTTACTGTTGATAAGACGACACTTTTGAAATGACAAATTGTTTACAATTTTTCATTCCTCCCTTCACAGGACTGGTAGAGAGAGTGTTGAGGGGCAACAACATCACTGGTCAGAGCGAGTTCAATTTAACCGCTGATCTGTCAGGGGGCCAGGGAGACGTCTCCTACCAACACGCGCAGCTGTTTCGTATCGGGCTGGAGGACTATGACAAGTATCCGTTGGATATTAAGATCCGACTGAAGAAGAAGGACTAGCCATGTGTGAGGTCTTGAGGGCGTTTCTGATGATGGTTGATTTTTCTGGTGCCCTGGAAACTTGCTGAAGGTCTCAAACATTGGAACGGGGGGAAATATGGTCAAAAGGGGAGTCCTATGCCTTCAGTGACTTTTCAAGCCTTCCTTAATTGGAATTCCACACATTTTACTCCAACGCCATTTTGGTATGGTGTCAGCCAGTGGCATAGCTGGGGGGGGGGGGGGGCATTAGCCCCCACAAGAAATGTGCTAGTCTTTTTTTTCAAGAGTGGCTTTTTTTAACGTCATGCGAATGTCTTTAATTGTGCCACAGAGAGCGTCACCTATTGTCCGATAAAGTGACTGTTTTTAATTGCACCCCCATAGAAAGATGGTATCCAGCCTATCCTTACACTTTTTGATTTGACAGAGAACAGATGAACGGTGAAAAAAACCTGTCTACCTTTCAGCACGGATGCTAGAGAAATTGGGTGCCCCTCCCCCTCCTCCCCCCCCCCCCCCCCACTGTAACATCCAGCCCCCCCCCCCCCCCCCCCCCCTATGCACTTGCTTACATTTACGTCTTTTAATTGTTGCTTTGATTGATTGTTTCACAAATTTTTTTTGGTATCTTTCTTACACTTCAAAATTGATGCAAGGCAGGATTTGTCTGTCCTTCGTGTACGTAAGCAGAGGGTGCATGTATTTTGTAATTGCAATTAAGCTTGCATTAAATTTGATTGTCAATTTAACAGACTGACTTGCATTTAGTTTTATTTCTTCATAGGCCCTAAGGACAGTTTTGTTACTCACCATCGGCAATTCAATTATAAAGACAATTATGGAATACCTGCCAAAAATGACCTTGTCTCTGTATGGGACTATTAATAATATTTCCTTCTAAATCTGTGCATTATGTGTGCAAATATATTTTCATAACGCAAGGGGAGAATATTCAATTCCTACAAGTTTATTTAATATTTATGGAAGCCGTTAATTTCACCAGACAGATGAGATTTCTGCTCTATATGAATGGTATTACACTGAGTATTTGTTGAGAATTTATTTTACAATTTGTAAATCATGTTCTACATTATTAACATTTACATGGCCAATATTATGTCTTATCGCTTTTCAAAATTATAACTATGTGTCAGTTTGATATTAATGTGGTTAGGTACCTTGACATTTCTAATACATGTATTCCTAAACTTCGACAATGCTTTAAAGTATTATTTATTTAATTTTTTTTAGTTTTCTTATGACTGTTCAAATGGTGATTAATTTGGGATTTTCGATTAGGTCAAATTTCCATTGGAATTGGCTATGGGAAACCTTTCATCAAATGTGGATTAAAAATTCAAAAAAATATTTTACTGAATTCTCACTAGCGCTGGATTTCAGTCGATATCAGCTAAATTGAAAACATTTCATTTTTGTAAAAAGAAAAAGTGAGGGAATTTGTTTTGTAGCCAAATCAGACATTGTTCTTAAAAAGCTAAATGACAGAGGAAGACCGGAGAGACTTTGGTACGTTGTTTTTTTTGTTAGTGTTTTTCATCGTTTAAGTTTGATTTATTATTTCTTCTGGAGCAAACTACAGTCAAACAATAAATAAACTGTCCCTATGTTGTATTAATTGATTTTTTAATGATTCCAGTTTTTGTTGACACAGCCAGTATGGATTTAATGTGGGCAAGCAATTTGCAGAAGGTAAACTCTATTTCTTTGAACTGTTTTAGCTTTAAAATACTATTGAAAATCACAATCATATTTGGTCTGGTCAAAAAAAGTGAAAAACTTCATTAATTTGAAGATTACTGCCATTTCAAATGAGGTACTGGCAAGCAAGTATTTGATGGATTTGTCATTGTATAAATTCAGGGTCCAAAGTGTGACATTTTTCCTGTCCAATTTACCTTGGTATTGTAATTTGCCATTGAAGTGTCATTGGGAATGACGTCAAACAATTTATTTGTTGGGTAGGTAGTGTGCTATTCGTAATCACTCTTGGAGGACAATCAGATTAAGGAGTGCATCAGAATTATACAATCATAGATGTCAGAAACAACAGGGACAGGAAAAAAAGTGGACCCCAAGTTTATATAGAATGACCCATATGTGATGTGTGGTCACTTTGGATTTGAAAGATTTCAAACAGTTCCACAACATTCAATGGAAACTCAAGTTTTTATTGCACTTTATGCAATGAATGTAAAGATTAGAATGATTATTTATGTGTTCAAGAAATCAGACCATGATGTCACAGCCCCACTTATAAGCAAACCATAAATGGAGCCAGGCTTGTCCAATCTGTAACAGCGTGTGATAAGTTGTTGGAGAGAAACAAATACTGATGATAAAAGAAACATGACCACGATGCCTCGGGACTTAATTTTACAGTAGACACAACCAGACTCGGAATTAGCCACGGCACTGCACTTTATAAATGAAATTCAAATTGAAGCACCATCTAACTTTGTATTGTAACTTGATGACTTAATTGCCAGGTACAACCATCCAGGCAAGCTGTTGGAGACTAGGAAGGGCCGGTGCGGTGAGTGGGCCAACTGCTTCACGCTGTAATGTAAAGCGGCTGGAATTGAGGCTAGGCATGGGGTGGACTGGACGGTATGTTTACCGCTTGGGCTAATTATTGCATGGGAGATGCTCATACCAAAAATAATGCTTGGCCAAATTTAATGCAAAACAAGAAACGTATGCATACTTATATCACGTAGCATTTTGGCTGCTGACCTGTTTTATTTGTTGAGCAAAACCTTTCTTGGTTTAGCAAATTGATTGTGCTTTGTAGCTCTGAAATTTGTCAATGGATGCTATGGTTTGTACACTTGATCATTCCATCCTACTTCGTTGCCTTCTCAAAGGAAGAGGTATTTCTGACATTGGTCTGAGTTCAGACTTTTGAATCTGAGGCACATCAGTGTATAAAGAAATGCATCTTTTAGACCTTTCATCTAATATTCAGATTTGTTTTGAAAATGACAATCTCATCCCTGGTTGGCGAGCTGCGAAGCAGATGCGAGCCTATGTAATACCAATTTCCGTCCGTCTGTCCGGGCGCCCGTCCGTCCGTCCGTCCGGCCGTCCGCGTTCAGATAAAAATGTTGAAGTTTTTAGTTCTAGTTAGTTTGAGGAAAAAAATTAAATGCAGTTGTCATGTATCATCTCTATAACTTCAGTTAGGTTCATATCATTGCAGTAAATTTTATTAATTTAATTCAAGGAAATGTTAAAGTTTTTAATTGTTACTTGTACATAATATAACATGTACATGTATACTATGCATTTTGGGAATGTGCATGAGCTTCTGGTTTGATCTTTTAGTTTATGGGGTTGGAGTAAGGATGGGGTAGGGGAGGGTGGGTTGGGGGATAGGGTTTGTGTGAGTAGGATGAGTAGGGGAGCTAGGATGGGTGGGGCGGGGTGGGGTGGGGTGGGGAGAGGGGTTGGAATACTGGGTTTGGGTGGGGTGGGGATTTGTAGGGGTGGGGTGGGAACTTGTAGGGGTGGGGTGGGACAGGTAGGGAGAGGATGGGCATGGATGTAGGGGTTGGGTTAGGAGGGGGTTGGGCAGGGGGCGGGATATACATGTAGGATCGGAGTAGGGGTTGGGTTGGGGATGTGTAGGTATGGGTTGTTGTAGGGGTTGGATAAGGGGAGGGGGCAGTATATAGGGATCAGAGTAGGGGTTGCATGGGGTCAGGTGGGGATGTATGGGTGGGGGAATGGGGTGGGCGGAATATTGGAATTCAAGTAAGGGTTAGGGTGTGGATGTGTAGGGTGGGTAAGGACAGATAGTGGAAGATAGGGTAGGTAGGTGTAGGGGGTTGGGGTAGGGGAGGGTACGGGTCAGGGGAGGGGGAAGGAGATAGGGATTGGAGTTTGGGTGGGGTTGGGATGTGTAGGTGATAGGGTGGGGATGGTTAGGGGAGGATGGGATGGGTGTGGGTAGGGGCTTGGGAGGGGGAGGGGGCGGGTTGGGGATGGGGTAAGGTTTTGGGGTGGAGTAATTAAGGTTTGGGGGAGGTGGTGATGGTGCTGTGTCTTCATGTACATGTATACCCATTCTCGTTCTGCATTTGTGGCGACTACACAAGAGTTTTCCCATGGTAATACAAGTATGGGGAGCAGAAGACACTGTTGGCGCTGCAAAAATCCACAACTGGGTCCTAATTACTCTAACAATGGAAAACTCCCCCATAATACAGTGACGGCTAACCTATATACACATGTATTTATTATGTAATCTGTTGACTTTTTATGTTGACATTTAAAAACTGACCCCTACACCTAGGCACATCAACAAGAATCCTGATCCCCTTCCATCATGCCCATCCCCAACCCTACCTTCAGCCTCCCTTCCTGCCTTGGACAGCGAGCCATGGCGGCTTCGCCGTTCTAGTTTTATTAGAGAAGAACATTTCCAAAACTTGGGACAAGCATCAAACTGCATCATAATTAAACTAGAGCACGTCCCATTTCATGTTGGGGAGTAGGAATAATCAGCCAATGGGTTTTATACCCTCATACTTAACCTGTTTGACTTATTCATTCTTGCTTTAACGCCCATCTTTGGTTTGTGAAAACCAATTTGTGCCAAAAACAAGTTTTTTCAAAAATACAGCAATGATTTTTGTTATATAATTCTTAAAAATCAGTGGGAATTTACAACAAAATTACATGTACTCATGATTTGATCAATTCAAGAAATACCTCATGTTGTCAAGATGAACTCAAATCATGTAGTGTTTAAAGGTAAACTACATGTATAAGAAAAATTATTCAGATATCAAAAAAATGATAACTGTAGGGCAAGAGAGGGGGCTGTATATGCTTCACACATCCTGAACTTTGCCCTCCTCCATATGGGCGTTTGTATTTAGACATTCATTGAATATGGGCTATGGTTTCCATGAATATAATGGACTTTAACCCCAAAATGTGCACACTGTGTGGTATTAATTCGTTGTTGTGTGACCGTGAAATCTGGTAGTTATTTTTTTTGTGGACTGCATGAAAATTATTGAACCAAATGCCTGGGAAAAGGAGGAGGAGGTTTACAGCCAAGCGGAAGCCTGCCAAAAAAGTTGCTGCCGCCATGGTAACGTACTACATAACATCTATAAAGCCATCTCCCTTATATCATGGAGAATCAGCGATGAATGGTTTTGAACTGAGGAACATTGTAGAGGTAAGAGGAAAAAAAGAGGCGATTCACGGCAAAAACAAATTCAGGGATTTTATAACATTTGGGATTTATGAATGTGACAATATAGAGATGAATAAGGGTGTAAGTTTTTGGTTCAGTGTAGAAATGCAACTCACAAGGCCCAGGTCTAGCTAAAGTGGACTCCCTTTCCTCCCTAGTCGTAATGCAATGAAGACTTTGTCCAACCTGGGCTACTTGGTACTTGGTTGGTTCTTCTCCTAAGGACTTCCACAAGGGAGTATAACTAGGAGGCCAGAAACACCAGGACAAACCCCTTCTCTTAGCGAAGAGTGTTACTGGGTTCTTTTACATGCGTTAGGCCTTATACAACACACGGGACCTCCGGCTTAACGTCCCATCTGAAGGACGAAGCAATATTGGTCAAGTGCCTTGCTTAAGGGCACAAGTGTCCGGGCCCAGGCTCGAACCCACGCCACTGTTGCCTCTGAAACACCAGAATATGAGTCCGGTGCTCTTAACCGCTAGGCCGTGACACTCCACTCAAAAGCATATTGTCAAGGTGAGGTCACATTACAAGCAGCACAGTGCCAAGGTCACATTACAAAGCGGACAGATGACCACTTTTTAAATGAATGAGTTCAAACCTTTAGCATATTTTTGTGTAAATTAAAGGCAGTTGACACATTAACCCTGACATATCACCAGAATGACAAATATAATTGAATGCCATAATTGTACCTTAAATCCTCTGTTTTTCCAGTGCTGTCGGACAGTTTTCTGTACAGACACTTCATGCATCTGTTTCCTGTACATGTACTTGTTTAGGGTTTCGTCTTCACACTGACATCTCGGGAACTTTCTGAGAAGTACATCCACGTCAAGTACTGCTCAGCTTCCGACAAGTACATCCGGGTATCGGATGACAACAAGGAGACAGCAGATTACCGGAGTTGCCTGTACAGCAGCATCAACATGTTCCGCGGACAGACGGCCGCCGGGGCCAGGCAATTGGTGGGTAGATGATAATAATAATAATATTAATATTGGAGTCGTAAGCACACGTATCTACCAACAATTAAGTACTTAAGGAGCTAATAAATGTCTATTGTTTAAAGACAGGAAAATATGAAGTTCATGAAATATTATATAGTACCTTGGGTTTACAAGGTGCTGCAGCGCATATTGCAGCCTCTGCCAGAAACACCAGGGCAAAACCCTTTTCTAGCAATAATTGTGTACTGGGTTCTTTTACGTGCATTACACAATGCACGGGACCTACGGCTTGATGTCCCATCTGAAGGATTGAGCAATAATGGTAAAGTGTCTTGCTTAAAGACACAAGTGTCAAGACCGGGACTCAAACCCACTAAACAAAAACACTAGTCCGGTGCTCTTAATGCTCAGCCATGACACCCGACAGGTGACGATGTATGTCATTGGTATATCAATAATGCCGTCAAGACAGTGAACAGTCTCATCGGCTTTTGATCACAGTTAAATGTTAATGTGGCTGGGTGTAGATGCAGTGACTACAATTTTGTTTATGCCCCGCCAGCTTAGCCGAAGGGGCATATATATATGCACTGTTTCTGTCTTGTCCGTCAGTCATTTGTCAGTGAGTGTGAGCGATCTGATACACTGTGCCCTCAGGAGACATGCACACAATAGGGAACAAAAAATTGTAAACGTCTCCACGGGCAATTTATACATCACAAGGTTTTCCCGAAATAGATATATGGATTTTACTCACAAACTAGAAATTTCCAATGTTTGTTGATCAGTCGCAAATGGTAGAAAAGAGATATATGTCCAAATTTCAGCCAAGGAAATTAATTCTGGTTAAAATAAGAGTATTTTGAAACTGTACTTTCAAACTTGAAAACTTTAGCACACGAGAACAAAGAAATGTCTCCACAAGGATATAAATTTCAGTATACATGTAGTTAAGTTTGTGGGGGTGTGTGTGTATGTGCGCACACATTCTTGTTCCGTAATTGTGGGGACTTACATTCGTCTGTGCAAGGTATTTGTGGGGACCGAAAATGCTATGGGGACAGCAGAAAGTCCCCATAACTCGGTCCTAATTTACCTAACAATAAAAAATTTCCCCATAACGCGGTGTATGCCTACCCATGTTCGCGGTTGCAGGGCATTTGTGCTTTTTTAACACTATTTTTTTTGTTTTTTACTCAAGTGAGTATAAAGGACATGTCTACTGTACAAGTTAATCACAAGTCATCCAGTTAAGTCAAGTCAAATGAACTAAGACGAAGGCATTGATTATCCCACATTATCAGGTGTATGTGGGCAGAGACAGAGGTGATGAAGAGGGCAACATAGAGTGGCGCTTTGACTTCCAAGACACGGGGCTGGTCATTGATCAAGTGACACTCGTCGCTACAGCCAGACTGTATCAGAACGGCCAAGTCAAGTGGAGATGTGGTCCTCAACATCAGATGGATGCCTCATTGCCTGTTACTGAAGGCAAGACTTGATGACAACACACCAAATCATTGTAAATCAATTCCAAGTCAATCACAACAGATCACATTAAGTAATCACAAGTCAATCACTTGTTGATCACAAAACAGTTGCAATTCGGTAACAAGGCTGGGAATCATGAGTTGGACACAAGGGAAATTGTACAAGTCGATCACAAGTCAGTTGCATGCCAGTTCACAAGTATCCGGAGGTCATCACAAATTGATCACAAGGCAATCGTTACATGAAGCTGGTAACAAGGCAAACACAAGTTGGACAAAGGCAAGTGTAAGTGAATCACAAACCAATCACAGTAGTCAGCTTACGTCACAATTAAGGCAAACAAACACTTGTCATTGTTCCTGTTTATTCACAAACTCAAAATGCACGTTTGAGTTTTCAAAACATACCGCTTGAGGGTGCTCTAGCATTTTATGACGCCACCTGTAATATTTTTGTAAAGTACAGCCTAGGGAGAAATTTACATCGTTAAAAGCAAGTTTATATCTTTTTCAACTTTCAAACTATTAGGCACTTCTGGTTTTGACCAGAAGGAAGTGATAAAATGAAGATCATGTATTATCATGTCGATTCTTGTAAAATTCAAGTTTCAGTCTCTCACGGTTGATTTGATATTGAATTTCAAAGATTAAATTTATTATTTTTGAAGTGACATCACGTGACCCATGACGACGTCATGATGACGTTATTCAGTGCAAAACGCACATCTTCAGTGGATTGTGCATTCATGTATTGACACTTAAAGTTCATGTATGTTTTAATTTTGACAATCAGTGCTTGCAACGCTTGAAGAATGAAAAAAAATAAATAGTAAATTCTTACAATAACAATAGATGTTGGGCTCATGCCCAATATCTAAAAAGGTTAAAGGGGACATAAATGTGCATTCTAAGGGATACATTACGAAAAAATGACATTGCATTGGCCCTTTTAATAACAAAATGAACTTCACATACACTCTGTGGAGGGACAATACAGAGCCAGGGTGTTCACATACGTGTACATAATTACGATTCATGTGCCTGTGGTGCAGAGGTACATGTATGACAAATTTTCTTCTGAATGTACATAAATGTGTAGCTTCTGCACATGAATGTGTGCGCACACCAGCAATGGCGGTCAAGTCTCCTTTATCTCCATCGCTGTGTCGCACTATTGAGGAGGCACTGAAATTATAAACTCCTGAATGTGGCGAAGTGTTGAAAATGTTGGTTGATGATTCTCTTGGTTAATGGATCCCGTTAGCTCGGTGGTTGAGTGGTAAGACATGTACCAGAAAGCAGGAGGTCGTGGGTTCGAGTCCCTCCCCAGTGATTTTTTTCACTAGGCAAAACCTAATTTAAAATTGGATTGTCTTGGTTGTTCCCACAGAACTGGTGGAGTCTGTGCTGAGGGGTAGCAACATCACCGGGCAGAGCGACTTCAATTTAACCGCTTATCTCTCGGGCGGGGCTGGTGGTTCCCCCTACTTAAATGCCCAGCTGTTTGCTATCGGGCGTGAGGACTACCACAAGTATCCACTAGATATTAAGATCCGACTGAAGGAGAAGGAATAGCGTTATGTGAGCTCTTGAGGGCACTCGTGAAGATGGTGATTTTTTTGGTACCCTGGGCAAAGACACCAGGGTCTCAGAAATTGGGAAGAGGGAGAGTAAGACCAAAATAGGTATCTTATATACTCAGTAATTTAGTTGATGATATTCAGTATTCCTTGCCTTAACTTCCAAAAATTGTAATGCCATTTGATGTGGTGGCAGTTATAGTACCCCATTACATTTCCATTGTGTGATTTTCTTCGACTATTTAATGGAAGTATTTTTTTTTAAGATTTCTTTTTAAATCCTTCAAATTCATGCATGGCATGATTTTTCTGTTCTTCAGTACATGAGTAAATTGTGCGTGAATACTTGCAGTTAATCTTGCATAAATTAATTGCTAATTTAATCCTGTCAAATTCAGTGTCTTTTTTTCTGCCTTTCAAAAACCCTAATTGTTTAAAAGGGCAAATTTGATGACACAATTAGGAATGCAGTTGTGCACAAAGTCTATGGGAATTAGGATAGAAGACCCTTGAAGAAAAGAAGAAAAAGTAAGAAACTAGAGGTCTATGTACGTCTGTTTAAGAGCAGAGCATCGGGCTTTTCCGCATTTACTTTGTATGTATGTTTGAACACTATGAGGAATTTATCCCCTCTGCATTTTGTGTGCAATTGCAAGAAAATATTCCAATTCCAATCTTACTGCACAAAAAGATATTCCCTGCTTGTAGACTGGTTCCAAGTCATTGCATTTTCGGGTGTAGGCCTAACTACTTATTCCATAACTAAACATGGGCCGAGTTTCATTGGTCAAACAGTTTCTCATTCAAAAATGTGTAAATTGTACTGCAAAAATAGCAATTTAAAAACAAAATCTATTTTTCAGGGTTGAACTTTAAAAATAGGTTGGACATTGTTAACTTGATAATTTGAAAAGAAAACGTTTTCTGTTTCATACACTTCATGATACTTTACTTATTACTGAAGGTTTTTTACTTTTGCCAATCATAATTTAAATGTGTGAAACAGTGGTTTGTCCTCAAGTTAAACAATATAACATTTGCTTGGAATGTTTTAGTTGGATTTGTATTTCTTTGAAACTTGAAAAATAATTGCTTACCTTCAGCAATTATTGAAATGAAAATTCAAAGTAAAGTACATAGTTAATAACGTGCCTTAATCTTTGATTAATGTATAACACCCCAAAAAAATTAGAATCAACTGTCCGTGCAGTTTGATAAATTGAAAGAGGGTAATTTTTTGTCTGTCACAAAGTGCTTGTATGATTACATGTATATCTGCCTATTTTCAAAATTTCTTAAGCCATAATCTGAAATATTTAGAGTACTTGTCAAAAACATTATAGTTCTCAAAAATGTACTGTAGACTAAAAGGACACAAATCTTCCAATAAAACGTGGTTGAAAAAAAAACTTGGCACATCTCCCATCCAACCCTGTTTTGAATGATTTTCATTGCATATTTTCCCAAGCATTTCTTTTTTAGATGAGTTACAATTTACATAAACTGCAACGAGCTTACGGGCCTCACATCTTTTATACATGTTGCCATTATGTCACGTTAGTAACACCATATTTGTGAGGCGTTTTGGCAATGAGACGGAACTGGGCACAAACCAAAGTGGACAAAAATGCAAGAATCTGAGTGGGTTGATTTATTTCTGATTTTCAAATTTATTGATATTTACAACCTTTGAACTGCCTATTACACATATTTTAAAGAAATAGTATAAAAATTGTGGAATAAAAGTGTTTTTTTAGGAAAACCAATTGGCATCTTTCATTTGCATGATTACAAAACTCGAAACTAGTAGTGTGTTGGGTCTTCATCGGACAGACAAAAGAATTTTATGCATAATGCACAAAGACAAAGGACTCATTAGCATATCAATGAAACTAATTAGCATATGGATGGATGATGTTAGCATAATAAAAGAGCGCATGGGCGTATGTCAGGTTTACCGGACAAGGGATGGGTCTAAAAAATGTATTGGACAAAGGGGGCAGCCCACCCGGCTAGATGGAATAGCGGACAGAGGAAAGACCTGAACCGGAATAGCGGACAAAGGGAGACTTGAGCCGGATTATGAATGTCAAACGTTTGAAATGACCAAGACTATCATTTGTATTCATTCAAAGCAGTGTGCAAACAGTGAATAATAAACACAAAATGCAGGCCACACCAACAGAGCGCCAATTAAGCCGACTAGCTGGAAATCTTGTGAAAAAAATGTTTTTACTCTGGTAAAAATGGAGAGTGCGAGCGACCTTGGGAGAAGTTAATGATGAATCTCGGTCTATCAAGAGCCGCTATGTATATACATTTAGAGGAAAACAAATTTTATGAATGGGGGCAATGTTTTAACGCGCTTATAGAGTGGAAACGACGCGAATATAAAAATGCCACGATTGAACGATTATTGAATGCCTGTCGATTTTGCGGTATTGATCATAACGCTTACAATTTTTTTTGCTGCAGTTAACCATTACCCTTCCCCCCTTCCAAAAAAGAAAGAAAGAAAGAAAGAAACAATTATGATTGTCTAATTGAAGAATTTATCTTTTAGTAAATTATTATCGAGTACGGCGAACATCGTCTAGAATGAAACACCCCTTAAGATTTGTTTCGAATGACTCATCTCGGTAGTCCATTGTGCAATCCACACGGACAAGTTCGTGTATGTGTACAGACATGCAAGAGTTTCTTCTGGTCGAGTTTTAAAAAAGTTTGAAAAAATTAATTTATGTATTTATAGTAAACAAACACTCACCGGTGAACAGCGTACTTGCACGGTATAGTCCGATGATTGTTTTAACCAGGGAGGAATTGTGTTAATAATAGATCAGAGAGCTAATGAATCCATGTGTTCAATACGGAGACCGATGGTCGATCACCCCTCGATGACCGCACCGATCATGGAGCAAATAAATAACTCCGTGCTTCTGCACCGATATTTGCCTTGTCATATCGTGTGTGTTATCCAGGTGCAATAACAATTGCACAATACAGTCGACTCTTATTTTATTATAAAGAGCACTTTTATAAAGAGGTTCTGCTTATAAAGAGCAAATTTTGAGGTCCCAAATCTCAGGTTCTCTTTGTGTTTCTTTGTTTCGCTGTCCTTTCATAACAAAGAAGAGGTAATAAAGAGGTAATTTGGCTAGTCCCATCGACCTTGTTATAACGAGAGTCGACTGTATTCTTCCACATTACCGCCAGAACCATCTATGTACGTATATCTGTGTGCGGTGGTCGTAGAAAATACAAACTTTCAGGGTCGGCTCGGTGTGTACAGTATGTACACGTACATCTGTATTAAGGGACTGACTGCATCCTACATGTACACATTGTATATTTACACCGTCCGATCAGATAGCGCTGTTTCCCTAATCCATAAAGACGTAATTCTTTCAAGACGTGTTCATTATATCGATTATCTTTCACCGACTGAACCTACCTGCATGTACAGTGGGGGATGGATTATTGAGCGTTCTAAATATCGATTGCCAGGAGTTACGCAACAGTAGTGAACGCTGACTCCCTTTATTGGACAATGGGACTTAATTGGCTGCGCACGGGATGTGCGGGAGCTTCAAAAATCTGTACGTGAAAGAAGTCAATGAAGTTGACTGACTAAACATGATTTCAAGCCTTAATACCCCTTTACCGTTGTCTGTACAGGAATGCACCGAACCCTAGTGTACCACCGTGCCGGACTTGTTTACAAAATCAAGGATATATATATAACTAGGTCTTTTTGTGTTAAAGCAATAGTACGTACTTCTATTTTATATTGAAGATTTAGAGTGTCATAAGGCAACTAACTTTTTTACCCCAACAAAGTCCCAAAGTTGGACACGGTGCGTGATAAAGCCATACATGAAGCATTAAAGACCGTAAACATTTCGGGGATTATTGACAGGGCGCCCAAACACTTATTATATGACTGCTTGACAGTAGGGCTTTCCCGATTGTTTAACTGTAAGACAACACCAACAAAGAAAAATACAACTGCAGAAAGTGTATACATGATAACATCATTGCTTTATTGACGTCATTTCTCAATGAAACACTCGTGTTTTGTTAATTTGTTTTTAAATGTATTCTTTGCAATTAAATCATCAGTGATCTTAATGTAACGTTGACTAGTCTTTAATCGTCACTGTCTTCCTCGTTAACGTCATCTTCATCTAATTGATGGAACAGGCCGTCAAATTTGGCCTGGTGTTTAGATATGACCCGGCTGACAGCCGTGGGCAGTAGAATACCGGAATGATTGACTCTGTCTTCGATCTCGTCCACAATTTCTTGATGAGTATCATTATCTTTCAGATGTATGTAACTTGACAAAAAATCTTTGTATTTGTTGAAAAAGATTCGCTTGACTGCCCACAGGGTCTTTCTGTTGGCCTTTTCCGTGGCCTGATCTTCACTCATGCCCTCGTTGATGTACTTTTCATGTTTTTCACTCCACATCTCATCAATCGCTTCTTTTGCCTCTCCCAACCAGTCTAAATAGGCTGCATTGTCTTCCAAATCAGAACTAGACTCATCTTCATCAGATGATTCGTCATCTTCCACCTCCGTGACGGATTCGGAATCATTTTCCTCAAGATCTTCGTCTTCATCATACGTAGATTCAGTTTCATAGTTTTCCATTTCCGGATCTTCAAATCTACTGCTTTTAAATTCAGGTTCAGAATTATCCACCTCAACTTCGTCTATGTCGGATTCATCTTCAGCATGTGCATTTTCGGTATGTCTCAAGAGGTTATATCTCCGTCCAAAGCGTTTGTCACACTGGTGACAAGCATAGGGTTTGACTGCAGAAATAGTATTCATGTTGAAGCTTTGAAGATTAATCTCCGAATGGTAAGGAACGGATGAAATCATTTAATATATATCTACTTATTTGGTTACTCATTTCGTTACTCATTTACTCATTTCGTTACTCATTTACTCAGTTCGTTACTCATTTACTCATTTCGTTACTCATTCACTCATTTGCTACTCATTTGGTTACTCATTTCGTCACTTATTTGGTTACTCATTTGCTACTCATTCACTCATTTGCTACTTATTTGGTTACTCATTCACTCATTTGCTACTCATTTCGTTACACATTTACTCAGTTCGTTACTCATTCACTCATTTGCTACTCATTTCGTTACTCATTTCGTTACTCATTTACTCATTTCGTTACTCATTTGGTTACTCATTTCGTTACTCATTTACTCATTTCGTTACTCATTTACTCATTTCGTTACTCATTCACTCATTTCGTTACTCATCATTACTCATTATTTAATCAAATGAGTAAATGAGTAACTCTATAAGCGCGTTAAAACATTGCCCCCATTCACAAAATTTGTTTTCCTCTAAATGTCTATACATAGCGGCTCTTGATAGACCGAGATTCATCATTAACTTCTCGCAAGGTCGCTCGCACTCTCCATTTTTACCAGAGTAAAAACATTTTTTCACAAGATTTCCAGCTAGTCGGCTTAATTGGCACTGTTGGTGTGGCCTGCATTTTGTTTTTATTATTCACTGTTTGCACACTGCTTTGAATGAATACAAATGATAGTCTTGGTCATTTCAAACGTTTGACATTCATAATCCGGCTCAAGTCTCCCTTTGTCCGCTATTCCGGTTCAGGTCTTTCCTCTGTCCGCTATTCCATCTAGCCGGGTGGGCTGCCCCCTTTGTCCAATACATTTTTTAGACCCATCCCTTGTCCGGTAAACCTGACATACGCCCATGCGCTCTTTTATTATGCTAACATCATCCATCCATATGCTAATTAGTTTCATTGATATGCTAATGAGTCCTTTGTCTTTGTGCATTATGCATAAAATTCTTTTGTCTGTCCGATGAAGACCCAACACACTACTGAAACTTTCGATGCCTTTTACTCAGTATTTTACTTTTTTGACATGTCGATAGGTGCACACTTTTAACAGCCATAACTTGTCAACTGAGTATCCCATTGAAGTGCAACAAACAGTATTGTAAGGAGAATTGAATTCTCTTTCCTACTACCTGCAAACCTGAATTTCAACCTCTGCCCAGTTGTGTCTCATTTCAACCATGGAGGACATGGATGAATAAGAACACATTCTTATTCCTCCATGTTTCAACAGAACACCTCTCACATTTGTCTCATAATTAATTTGTGAGAGCTACAGGGGCAGATTTCATAGGGGAGGGGTAGCAAGCAATAGCTGTGTTTTTCTGCGCGGGTTTCCCGGGTTTTTTTTGCTGGGGTTAACACAACACCCCCCCCCTCCAATCCGTCTGTAGATCCGCCACTGAGCTGATGTGTAACCTCCACGGAACCTTTCCCGTATCAGAAGGCGTTTTACATAGGTGCAAATTTAACATTTAACCCCGAAATTATGAAGTGTTTAATTGCCATACGATCGAGAAGCAGTCACCTGGCGCCCTTTAGGGGATGTTTGGAGGTGTCACACTCGCCTCCTTCCTCCCCTTTCGTCAATTTAGTTTTACCTTTAGGCAAAATCGTGTGACTGTCGTGTGCATATTACAGGTACCGCCTTCCAGAATGTATTCATGTATTCAAGGGTGACATTTCGAAGTCGTTTAGTCCTTTGGCAAATTCATTTTGTGACAATCCTTGTGGCACTACCGTTTGAACAAATCTATTAATTGGCCTTAAATT